AAACGAGAAAATAGTGAAAAAAAAAAAAACTTTAACCCCAATTTTCGGAGAAAATATTGGGTGCATTTTGTAATTGTTCTGAAGTTGTTCTTAAGTGCGGACAAACAATCAGTTCCTCATTGCGTACTGAAACTTGCTCGATATGTAATTGGGACCCCACATTATTTTCTCTCTAAGAAAATTTTCTCACATTTTAGAGGGCTTTAGCAGCATTTTTTACCGCTAGGAAAAGCTTTGCATGATTTTAAAACCTCCATGATTGTAATCGACTAGAAAACCCTTCGTTGGTGGGTTCATAATTTGCCGGAGAAGAGATTTTACGACAGTAAAACCGATTACATATATTAATAGCAGACCAGCAGTTATATTGATTCTGAGAAGAATTAATGGAGGAATAGTCAAGCGGAGTAGGAATGAAATTGAGGAAATATGTTGTTGCGATGCTGAAATTTATATATTATATAAATAAATCTAAAAATTTATATATCTCTATATATATATATACATAAAATGATAAGTAAATCCTATCCCTTCAGGTTATGTCACTTCCCACGAGGAGAGACAGACCAACCTCTGTTTCAGTATTGGCAAAGCCAACTCTCTGATCACTAAAACAGAGGACTCTGCAATAAGCTGATCAGAAAAGTGAAAGATGAAGTTTATGAAGCTTGGCAGCCGCCCTGATACCTTCTTCGCCACCGAAGCCATAAGGCTACCATCTCTCTCTCTCTCTCTCCCTCTCTGTATATGTGCGTGTGAAAACTTCTCTAACTCCTCTTTGCTCCTACTCCAATGGTTCAGGTCTATATCAACCGAAGTATCCACCGATATCAAAATCCAAGTCCAAGACCGATTGTACCATCTTCACAAGGTATCATCCATCCAAAACACATTTTTTAAGACGTTTATTCCAATTCTAATCTTTAAACTCTTCATTATCTCCTGTTCTAGTTTCCCCTGCTCTCCAAATGTGGCCTCTTACAGACACTCTGCTCCAAAGACTCTCCCCACCTTCCGACCGCCATCCATCTCTCCGATATCCCTGGCGGCGCCGAAACCTTCGAGCTCTGCGCCAAATTCTGCTACGGCATAACCATCACCATCAGCCCCCTCAACTTCATTCCCCTGTACTGCGCCGCCGAGTATCTTCTTATGACAAACTCCGTCGAAAGCGGCAACCTGGCCGGAAAGCTTGATTCTTTCTTCAAATCCTGCATCCTTCAGCGCTGGAAGGACACACTCCTCACCCTGCAGAGCACGAGGCGATTTCCTTCACTCTGCGAGGAGCTCAAGATCACCGACCGTTGCATCGAAGCTCTCGCCGCCGCGGCGGTTATTGCCCACCCGTCTATGCGGTGGTGGGCAGACGACCTGGCTGAATTAAGTATTGACCATTACTGGAGAATCATGCTCGCCGTCAAGACGGCCGGAATAGTATCTGGCAAGTTCATTGGAGAAGCAATAAAGGTTTATGCCGGCCGATGGCTTCCAAGCATGGGAGATTCTATCATGGAGGTTAATAACTTGAAGCACCGGCTGCTTCTGGAGAAATTAGTCACTCTGCTTCCAATCGAGAAAGGCTCTGTTTCCTGCAGTTTCTTGCTGAAGTTTCTCAAGTCTGCAAACATATTAAACGCCTCCTCGACTTCAAAATTGGATCTTGCGAGGAGAGCTGGACTGCAATTAGAGGAAGCCACTGTTAATGATCTTATGATTCCTTCTGTTACTGATGGGGACGAGCTTATGTATGACGTTGACGTAGTGATCACCATTGTTGAGGAGTTCATGCTGCAGGGACGGAGCCCGCCGACGAGCCCGCTGAGAAATAAAACCGGCGGCGCGGAGAGGCGGCGGTCGAGGTCGGCGGAGAACGTTGAGGTTGAAGGGCAGGAAAACAGGCGGCGGTCGTCGTCTGCTTCGCATAACTCTCTGCTGAGAGTAGCCAAGTTAATAGATTTATACCTCGTGGAGATTGCGCGCAGTGAAATGCTTTCGGTGGAGAAGATGATCGCTCTCGCTCAGATAGTGCCGGATTTCGCGAGAATGGATCATGACAATCTCTATAGAGTTGTTGATACGTATCTCAGGGTAAAATTCTAAACTTGCGGGCTTTCAGTTTTAGGAATAGTTAATTCTATATTAGCCCCAAGTAAATTACTTAAATTGCTCTGCTCTGAACGTTAATCCAGCAATCAATACACAAAACACTGATATCTAACTACAGGCGCACCCACAACTGGAGAAAAACGAAAGGAAGAAGCTTTGCAAGATTCTGGATTGCAAGAAGCTATCAATGGAGGCCTGCATGCACGCAGCTCAAAACGAGATGCTGCCGCTGCGAGTAGTGGTGCAGGTCCTCTTCTTCGAGCAGGCTCGCGCGGCCATGGCTGGAGGCCAGGTTACAGAGCTCTCATCCAACATCAAAGCTCTGCTCACCAAAGCGGCCGGCTTGGACGAGAAGGTGGCGACGATGAACTGCTCAAGCCTGGAGGCAAACGACAGCGAATGGAGCTCTGCTTCGGGGCTAAAATGTCAGATGCCGAAGATGGCGACGTTGAAAATGAAGCTTGAAGAAGAAGACAATGATAGGGAGGAACAGGTCATGGTGAGAGAGGGGCTGATGAGGAGCACATCATCCAGGTTTAGAGCTCTTTGTTCTATTCCCACTAGGCCAAGGAGGATTCTAAGTAAATTTTTGACCATGAATAGAAGTGTTAGTGAAAGACACTGATGTTCTTTTGATTTAGCATTCAGTTGAGGAATGGTTGGCTAAAATTTTTGTCTTTGTTTCGAAAAAAATATTGTTTGCATGTCCTAACAACGGCCTGGCTGCGGCTATGCCGTTGTGTTGTGCATTCACTGTGTTGTTCGGACGTAGGCGCATGATCATTTTCATATTTGCTTGAGCTTGAAAGTAGAAGTTTGTTGATGAGTTATGTCATTTTATTGAAGTTATTGCTATTAATTGTCAATGAGATGTGATTTTTAATATTTATGGTTGAGAATGAACAGTGAAAAAAAATCTCTTTGAATTGATTCTTGATGCTTCATCAACAAATTTTATCATTTATCACCATGAGATATTTTGGAACGTATATGGAGGTATTTTTTGAGAAAATAAATATTCTGATTTAAGTTAAAAATCATGCAATACTCCAATTTCAACAAACCAAATGAACTCCAAATTTGTTGTGCCTATAGTCAAATCAAGTGTATCGACGAGAGGAATCCAAAGAGCTCAATATCACATGATTTTGAGGTCATTAAGGCTATCAGATCATAAAAAATCTTCTATGATTAAGGAAAATCAATGTGAGTCAATCGATCAGGTGGTTATGGTGGTTATTCGTCAAAAAACAAAAATGCCCCTCCTTAAAGGGCCTATAATTATACCTTCTATCTTCACATGCAGAGGGAAAGGAAAGAGAATAAAGAGCTCATTTTTAGTGTTACTCTAGTATAAAAGCCCGATAATAACACCTATCATATGTAGTCACAAATTGTTGCTTGTCAACTACTGTTGACAAACTCTGAATTCCCCATGCTCGCACGTCGTTGGTGAACTTTGTTGAGTAACGATGCACATTAAGAAGTAACAAAATATCATGTTTAGTAACGACGCACATAGCAGAGTAATAAAGTATATTCAAAGTAACGAGTCACATTGCAGAGTAATGAAATACTCTATTAAGTGATGAAGTCTTCTACATATAAAGTAGCACACAACTTTAAATATTATACAACAAAGTACCCCGAACATGGTGTATAAACGACCCTATGATAACTGCTAACAGTAACTGCTTTCAATTATTGTTCAACAAACTTTTTTTATGTACAAGACCTCAACCAAAAGTGAGGTCAACAATATTGTACTTAGAAATTTAACAAAGTACCCCGAACATGGTGTATAAACGACCCTACGATAACTGCTAACAGTAACTGCTTTCAGTAACTGCTTTCAATTATTGTTCAACAAACTATTTTTATGTACAAATATTGTACTTAGAAATTTCTTATAACTCTTTCTTGATGATTGGATAAGAGTTTATCTTTGTACTTATAAACTTATAGTTGATATTTCAACCGGGTTGGACTCTGTGATTTTCCCCTCTCTGGGCTTTTCCACGTAGATATTCTTGTTGTCTTCTCCTATGTCTTTTTATTATTTGTGTGTGTGTGTGTGTGTGTGTGTGTGTGTGTTGGATTTCAAACAATCCTAAGAAGTTAATTATTACTCTATCATCGAGAATTTTCTAGCACACAAAATTTTGGTGCCTTTCGTTAGAAACAAAGTCTCGATGATAGAAGTTTACACTTTTATGATGGCCAATAAACATAATATGCAAGCATCGCATTCTAACAAACATCACTTCAGTGAACAATCTCAAAGTGTGGGACATCAAGGCTCCAATCTGTTTTTCAACGATACACATTATCATCTTGTTATTGAAGGAACCTCCTTGCCTCACTTTAAGAACATGTGAGAAGAATGGGGGAGTGTCATATTGATATTCTCCAACTTTTTTATAGGTTGGACAACCTACAGTGATGCACATTAAGGGGTGCGACTGCCTTTAAATCTACTGTCTAGAGGTTCATTAGTGATACCCCTTGTACACACTAGAGTTTCTCCTCATGAAGCTGAACTCGTGAACACTACTAGTTTTATACATCCACCTAATATAGTGAAGCCTAGTAGTAATTCTCTAATGTACTTGAAGAACGTAGCTCGACTTCATGCAATCCATGATGAGTTATGATGTATAGTCAGGGAGGAGTTCCCTATCCGGGATAGAAGTCATTTATCAGTTCGACATAGACATCGGGTGTCTTCTTTAAAGGATCACTAATAGTGAGCTAGTTATTATAGAGAGAAGGTCTTTTGTGATTCATACTAAGAATTATCTATTGATTACAGGTTCTTCAGGTGCACAACATTAAGAATCAAAAAATATGTTGAGCTTATTGGAATATAGCAATGTCGAGGGAAAGCCTCGACAGAAAGACTGAAGGTAAGTTCAGTTACCCCTTGATCGATCTCTTTGCCATTTTTTGAGCTATCAATAAGGGGTGAAGCCAGTCGCCCTTCTCCTATTGCCCTGAGTGAGCATAAATTCTAGTCCAAGCCGGCATCCTAGCCAGATCCCTCCAATTGAGCGAAGAGGCATCGAAGCCGATCTAAGTGCCTCACTTCCTCTCCCTCCTCGAAAGAAGAAAAAAGGCCCCGACCTAAGTTTGTTCCTATGCAAAATGGAAGGGTGAAGGTGTGTGCTACCATTGATAAGTGGTTTGCCCTGATTAATCTAAGAAGGGATTGACATTCAAATTCCATTATCACAGTCATGTATTCCATGACAATCGACAATGTTCTATGATCTCATGGTTTCGTGGAATTCCTTCAAACGAAATGCCTCTCAGGCCCGTGCCAAACGATCGACATGAATGGATTGATGGCTTGAGAAGCTTTTGCATTTTAAAATGCTTCTCTTCTTGGTGGTGGAGGATAATTTGTCTAAGGCTTAGAAGAAGGTGAGAGAGGTGGAAAAGT